AGTTAAAAGAAAAGGCTTTGGCTAAATAGATTCTTTGACTGCCAGGGATTAGAGTCATGGCACCAGTGGTAACACACATCTTTTCCTTTAATTTACAAAATTTTCTCACGAGTTTGCAAGAGTTCACCCCATCAGGGGCTTTCTGAGGCCATTGAAATGTCTTAAGTTTTAATTAAGTTGGAGTTGTCAGAAGAAAGCTTTTTTGGCACAGAGTCAGGGTCATTAATTACTGCTATCTTTGTTTCTTTCAGAGAAAAGAATTCTACTGACTTGTTGGGTTACTTATACAGCCTACATTTTCTATCCTGCAGTCCTTATTCACCTCCAAGCAAGGCTTGATTAAGCAGTTTACCAATTACTTCCATCAATCTGGTTTACAAGTCCTGTGGGTAATCGTAACTTCAGAAGATTTTCTCTCTGCTGATTCGAAGTACAGTAGTAATGAAAGCAGAATTACTGTTAGAACCACAAACATTTTTAAATTTCTAGATTTTCCACCCGAAATGGTGCTTGAATCACATTCCTGATTTTATCATTTCACTTTTTGCTGGATGGCCAGTTATTAGCAGACACAAACCATGCTGTGAAAAACTAAGCAGAATAAACAGTTTTCATCCTGTCTAGCAATTCTGGGGTTAAAGTTAATGTTTTTTATCAGTTAAATGCCTGCGAACAAGGTTGCATTCAAATCAAAGGACATGGTATCTCCATCAGATAATAGTAAAAACTTTATTGCTAGGTGCCACTTATCAAAAAATTAAAAAGTCTAGAATAATAAGGTGAAATTGCTACCCCATAACAATTATTCAGTGGCCTAAGTAAAGGCTAATCTATAGGTGTCATTTTTACCAGATGCATTCACATCATAAAAAAGCCAACACCTTAACTGGCACTAATTTGCTGCTTCATCAGAGTCTGAGATATGGGGAATGCACTGTCTCTCTCTCTCCTTCCTAGAGATAATGGCCTCGAGGCTCAGTGTGAAATACAGTATTATACAGCGACATTCTATATATCCATTCCACAGATAAAGATTTTGGGTTCAAAGCTTGTCTATTCTTTGCCTCTGCACTTCATATGCATACACAATTAACAAATATTCCTCCAAAACACAACCAGTTTGATAGTCATATAATTTCACACGCCCAGTAAATTCTTGGGTTCATCCAAAGTACTTTGCAAAAATACCATTACCATTATTAGAAAGCTTGATAACTATATGTCTAAGTATACTGCTTGTTCATTTAAATAAGGTTTGTTTTATCACAATCCTCAAATTCCTTGAAGCCTGCAAAAGGCCTATGTCAAACTACATATTTTTTACTGTTTTTAATAAAAACATTGGCAAAATAATATTTTTTCAGAAACTCTGACTTGGATTTCTGATTTATAGCGTATACTTTGCCACTCTGAGCTACTCAGCTCAGCAAGTGGTTGCTCAGAGACTGCAAGACTTGAAATGTCTGTGGCGTAGAATAAATTATTTTGATCCTCCSTTGGGTATTTACTTAATTTCTCACCCATTTACTGTACTTCACTTAAAATGGCAGAAGTGGGATAGAAACTATTACGAAGCTGGAAACACTACCAGGAACTTTAACCAGCTCTAGGAAGTTATGATATCTGCAACAGAGGCAATCTGCTGACAAAGAAACTACTTTGCTGTGCATGAGGATTCTGTCTGTTACCTCTGTTTTCCTAAACCCAACATCCAAAGTAGCAATCCCATAAACATTGAAGCAGWTACTTATTTAATTAAACATTAAAAGTGGTTCTACAATGACATTACAAGACTGTGTTGAACTTCCTTACAAAATAGCCATCTTCTCTATCTGTAGCTTTTTTCCCCTAACAAACAACACAGAATTTCAGCAATCTTTGTTACTGTTTGTTTTTTTTGTTTGGTTGGTTTTTTTTTTTCTAGCCTCTTTACTTATGTCTGTGGGATGAATCTATATACAGATATGCAGCTGTCATCACATCTCTGAATCCCTTCTTTCCACACACAACCCCAGTGTCACAAGCTCTACCAGTGCAGAACTGCARCTTGTTGATGGAGTGCTCTGGAAGTGGAACACTGGAAGAACTGAACCACTGGGATTTGGTCTCCCACCCTTATGTTGTCCAGGCTGCACCCACCCCCRGTGTAGCACGGTACCTGAACCTACAATACTGTGAATGGACACTGGAACTCTTTTCTCTCTCCTTTAGCAAGGACTTGACCCAGCCTTTTTGGAACTCCAGTTTACTTTATTTTGTCTGCAGTTGAACAATATCTTTAAAATCCATCTCTCTCTTTAAATGAATACACGCAAAAATAAATATGCTGATAAGGAAAAGCCTATGAGGCTGGCACTCTCAAAAAGCCTGTTTAAGAGGCTTGTTTTATTCTATAGCTAACTGCAATTCCAACCCTTTTTAGCCGTGATGAGAAATAGGAAACTTTAATAGCCTAGTTCTGGTCTTAAATGCTGTGTGTGTGCACCAGCATATATGTTTT